GCCCTTGGCAATCAGCACGCCCAGAGGGGCAGAGGTGGGCAATCCAACCTCAGCTGGATTGTGAGGGTTTGGATGGAGACAAAGATCTGCCTGGGAGAGCCCTTGTAACATGGCATAGGGCTGGCAGCAGCCAGTGAGCAACCCAAGGCGGTCTGCCTCCTGTGGGGCGTGGCTCAGACAGCCCAGTTCCACAGGAAAGGAGGCACAGAGAGGTCAGAGCCATGAAGTGCAGAAGCCAGGATTCAAGAGCCATGAAGTGCAGAAGCCAGGATTCAAACCTGACAGTGCCGCTCAAAGGCCATGCCGTGACTCCTGCACTATGCCACCTCTCTGAGTTGACCTGGCAGGTCCACCAGGTGCGCAGGCCAGCACCCTGCCCAGCACCACAGCCATCCAGGGCACCCCCCCTACTCCAAGCTGGCGCCCTGGTCCCTCAGCCCTCCTCACCACCCTTCCTCCTGCTTCGGGCTCATCCCCAGAGCCTGGGCCACTAAAACAACCTGGCACCAAGCAGATGCCTCAATGAATCAGGGTCCTGTCCTCTTAAACCAGAAACAATTCCACCCCTGCACAGCCTGTCCCTCTGGCCTCACGCCATCTTGGATCCAGCTGGTGGCTCACAAATGAGCCCTGCATCCGGGCCGAGGAGCTGATGTTCATTAATAGGAAACCGCGTGGTGGTTAATTGGTATTGATGTCCCCAGGTGCACACCTCAAAGCTGATAGATGACGCTGTTCCTGCCAGCCTTAAGCAGGGAGGGGGCTTGGTTAACATGGCTGTGCCAGGGCTCTCACCTCACCCGCCCTCCCCAGGGCTGAGTTTCAGCCCTGGTTATTGTTGCTACACAGGGCGCGATGGGGGGGTCACCTTTGCACATTGAAGTTCCTCCCTCCCCTTCAACCGACTCCCACTGCCTCTTCTCCCTAAGGACCATGGAACCGAGATCAGACAAACCTGAGTTAGACCCCAGCTCTGTTTTGGGCCAGCTCTGTGATCTTGGGCAAGTTACTTAATCTCTCTGAGCCTCAGTTTTTCCATCTTCAAACTCTAAAGCTGATGAGACACACGTTCCAGGGCCAAGCACAAGCTTGAAACATAGCAGATGTCCCCACCGTGTCCCCTAGGCCCCTCAGTCTCAACATGTTCCAACCAAGCTCAACATCTTCCCCCCAAAACCTGTCCCCTGCCATCCCCACTGCCACCCTCAATAGTCAAGCCAGAAGTCTGGGGTGTCATCTGGGACACCTCTTTCCTCCCCCCAACATTTAATCAAGTCCCAACAATTGTACCTCCCAAATGGTTGTCCCGTCTGTCCACGTCTCCCCACCCACTGCCAACGGCTTGGATATCATCATCTCTCTGGATTCTCACAGCAGCCTCCTAACTAGTCTCCTAGCCCCCAGTCTCATTCTGCTCTCCCTCCCCAGGAAACCTGCCTTGCAGACAGAAAGAGTTCCCTCAAGAGTCAATCTGATCAGGTCATTCTTTTGTTTCAAACCTTTCAGTGGCTCCCCATTGCCCTCAGGACAAAGTACAGTCTCAGTTCCAGACAGGACTTACTGAATCCTTTGCAACTGCCCCCTAACTCTCCCACCTCACTTCCCATTGGGGCTCCCGTATACCCTGTTCCAGGCCCTCGGTGCATCATGCTGTGCCTGACTCCAGGTGACCTGCGCACATGTTCTCCCATCGCTCCCCTCTCCATCTGCCCTGATTAACTCCCACTTCACAACTTGGCTTGGGCACCTGCTCCTCTAGGAAGTCTTCTCTGCCAGCCCAAGCTGGTGTAGGGCCCTCCTTTGGGCTCCCACAATCCCCTGTGCTTCTGTCTTTCTTTCCTGCAGGAAAACCCTGTACCTAGTAGGTGCTCAGACATGAATGCTGCAGGCCCATCCCTAAGAGGTTTGCACAAATAGGAAGGTGAGAGGGCTGCAGAATTCAAGCCCTCCCTCCTACTAAGAGGGGCTCCTTCCCAGGAAGCCCAGACTGCCTCAAGCCTAGCCCGAGACTTTGCAGGGGGCTCAGGTCAGGTGGGTTCTCCTGGATCCCATGGGCAGTGACCAGGGCTCATTCAGCCTCTACTCCAGCGCCCATCGTCTGCCTCTGGCCTTAAAGGTCTCGTAGCCCTCTCCTAACCAAAGTATTACGACCATCTGCTCTTCTAAGCATTTCATTTGCCCCCTGAAGCAGACCCAGGAGGCTTGGGGACCAAGCCCAAGCCCAAGCCCAGTAGCAGGCCATCAATCTTCCTGCCAAATCCATGGCCAAGGGCTCACAGAGCAGCCTCTGGATTGGGCTCCTCAGTGCCAGCCTTGCACCTCCAACCCAGCCTCTACACAGCAACCCCGGGGCTTTCTGACCACACGTCTGATGGGGCCCCTCCCCTCCTAAAAACCTCCAGTGGCATCCTGGCCTGCCTGAACTCTGGTTCCTGCTCTCCAGCTGGCCCAGGAGCGCATGTGTGCTCGCTGCAGCCACCCTCCTGGCCTCCCCGCCCCCACCCTGCCCTGCTTCAGCTGCACCAGCCCACTTGCTGCTCCTACCTGTACCCTGCCTTGGCACAGGCTGTTGCTCCACCTGGAGCTCTTCCCACGTTTTTCCAGGAAAATGCATACTAAATGTCACCTCCTCTGGGACTCCTGCTTGGGTTGCCCAGGAGAGCAGGAGTTTCCTCCTCTGTGCCCTTTCAGAACTGTGTGTTCTCTGTTAGGGCCCCATCACACAGTGCTGTCTTTGCATCTGTTGGTAGTTGGCTCTCCAGCTGGACTGAGAGCTCCTGGAAGGCAGGGACCAGAGCAGACTCCTGCCATCTCTGTCTTCTCCTCAAGGCCCAGCTTAGGGCAGGCACTCACATGTTTGGGGGATAGAGAAAAGAAGGAAGGAAGGAAGGGTCGCATCTTTCCTTCCCCGGCACCTCTGTCCTCACGTGTCAGATATCTGCTGTGCTCCCCTCTGGGCCAGGCTGCGCTGTCCTCCGTTAGTCGGGGCCTCTGGGTTTCTTTACCTGGCTCCAATGGGCCAGAGAGACCTGCTTCAGAAGCAGGAGGCCTTGGAGGCCAGCCAGGGGCCTAGGCAGTACAACTGTCCCTCTGCCAGTTGAGCAGAGACCCAGGCCACTGTGGAGTGCTTCCACTGGCCAACCCCTCCCCGGGGCCCAGAGTTTCATGCAGGTTCAGACTCTGGCCCTGCCACTCCCTGGCTGGGTGATCTTGTTTCCTGCCTGTCCTAGAAGGCTATTCCCAGTGGGTCACCTGTCCGTGCCCACAGAGGGGACTGTGGAGGAGCAGCGGCCCAGCTGGGTGGCTGGACTGACCACAGCATACATCAACCCCAGGAGATTCTGTTCCTTACTTCTCCTTTGCAGGCACTCGCCATTGTCGTGCAGTGAACTTTGGCAGCTTCTCTTAGATGTTCTCTGGACACTGCCTGGGCTGCCGTGCGAGCCATCTTGGGCCAGTTAGGATCCCAGCTCTGCCGCGAATGTGCCGCTTGGCTCTGGGCAAGCTACCTCACCTCCTAGAGCCTCAGTTTTCACTTCTGAAAAGGGAGGTAATATCCCTTGCTTGCCAGGGTTGGCGCGAGGCACGGATGAGCCAGTGGCAGTGTGAGTGATGGCCACGGGGAGACGGAGGCCATACTGGGTGCTGTGGAAGTGGGCAGCATCACACCTCCTCCAGGACACACTCCCCCTGCTGCGGGGAGTCAGCTGTGGAAACCATGTAGCGCTGTGGGAGAAAGAACACTGGACCAGGCGTCAGGCCCTTGTGTCGGGCCCTTGAAGCAGTCGCTCCCTCAGCTGGGTCTCAGCCTCCTCCTGTGACGGGTGACTGCCACTCTGACCCCTAGGTCTGTGCAGGTGGCAGGCAGTGGCAAGGACTCAGCAGCTGCCTACTGTCAGGGAGGGGTCTTCCCTGGGTGCCCAGCAGCCAGGAGGTATGCTGGGGAGACACGGAAGCTGAGAGGTCTCAGGCCTTGGCCAGAAGCTAATAAACATTGGCATGTGGTGAGGGAGGGAGGGAAGTGGGCGGCTCTGCAACCATCGAGACTGACTTCTTGGTTAATTAGGAGGTTTCCACAGCCACAGACTACCCCAGCTGTGGGCAGGGACAGGGAGGGAGGGGCCACCGAGGCTGCTGGGAGGCCAGCTGGGGCCTGAGTGTGGCTCAGTTTCTCTCCTGAGCCAGGAGCACGAAAAGGCTGAAGGAATAATGCAGGGGGTTTGGGTCAGGCAATGGACCCAGGACCCACTGGCCTGAGTACCTGAACAGAACTCTCTGAAGGAAGGGGGCTGGAAGCGCCCTGAGGTTTCCGGGGCATCCAGTCGAATGTGGGGAGCTGTAGGTTTGGGGAAGAGGGCTGATGCCCAATCAGGAAGAACCAAGAAAAACCTTGGAAACCATGGAAACCGAGAGCAGAGGCCCTAGAGGTGGAGGAGGTTCCACTGAGCAGAAAAAGTTGGACAGCAGTGGGTCTGAATCCAACCTCTGTCAAACACTAGCCATGTGACTTTGTGCAAATCACTAAACCTCTGATTTTTCATTTCTACATCTATAAAACGGAACTAATTATACCTTGCAAAGCTGTTTTGATAATTAGACTGAAGAATGTAGCACCGCACAAGATACATAGCGAGTGCTTAATAAATATCTGCTGTATTAGCTGCTAGTGTTAAATTACCCAGGCCAGGGCCTGGAAAGGAGAAGAGGCTTGGTAAAGGGTGGTGGAGGAAGCAGGGCCTAGAAGGTGCTGGCGGAGTTGCAGGGATGGGCAGAGGGACTGCCCTCCTGCCACACTGGCTATGGATAGTCTGAGGGCTGCGGAGCCAGGAGGCTGTGCTTGGCTAGGTGGACCCATTTCCACCGCCCAGGGGTGTTCAAAGGGCTGGAGCCCCAGCTCAGCCCCTGCTCCTCAGAGGGCTCCTAGTGTTGGCCCCCATCCCCTAGCCCATCCCCTAGTAGCGTCCTGCCCTGGGGTAAGGGGAATGACACACGGACACCCAGCAGAGTGCAGGCGGACAAGGTTTATTCCCATCCTCGGGCTGACAGGGCTCGCGCAGCCTCTCCGTCGCGGGCAGGCTCCCCCCCGGGCTGCCCGCCCCAGCCGCTGCCCGCCGGCAGCCTTCCTCGAGGCCAGCCGTCCCCAGGGCAGCCGGCAGGGCCCGAGGACGCCGGGCCGATGCGACGGAGGGCGCGGCGGGAGCCCGGGGGGCAGCGGGCGCGGTGGCGGCGGCGGCGGCCGCAGGGCCACAGGCGGCGGAAGCGCGCGCGGAAGTGGCGCGAGGCGAGCGCGTAGACGAGCGGGTTGAGGCAGGAATTGGCGTAGGCGAGGCAGTGCGAGGCCAGGCGGCAGGCGTAGGTGGCGGGGCTGAAGGCGAAGCGGCCGTACCAGAAGCAGAGGATGAGCGCGTGGTGCGGGCCCCAGCAGAGGGCGTAGAGCGCGGCCACCGCCAGCATGGCGCGCCCCGCGGCTCTGCGCCGGGCCTCCGCTGCCGCGCCCGCGGGGCCCACGGCCGCCCAGAGGAAGCGCAGCGCGCGCCCGTAGGCCAGGCTCACCACGGCCACGGGCAGCAGGTAGCCGGCTGCAAAGGTGGCCACGTCGAGGGCGCGCCGGCGCGCGTCCTCCCAAGCGGGCACGCAGAGCTCGAGCGCGCCGTAGCGCACCGTGCCATAGTAGCTGAGGTAGGGCGCCGAGAAGAGCGCCGCCAGCAGCCAGACGAGGCCCACGGCCGCGCGGGCGTTGCGCGGGGTGCGCAGGGCCCGCGAGCGCAGCGGGTGCCGCACGGCCAGGTACCTGCGGGCGGTCGCCGGGTCAGCACGGCAGGCGGGCGGCCCCGCATCCGCGCCCCCGCGTTGACGCTGCCCCGGGGACCCGTGGGCCGGGCGGCCTTGATTCCGCGTCTGAACGGTGCGGGGGACCGCGCGCCCTGCCTCGCTGGGTGGTTGTGAGGACTGAGGGAGTTAACACACAGCGCTTAGAGCCGTGCCCGGCCCCTAGGAAGGCTGGGTCGGAGGCTGAGAGAAGTGACTTGCCCAAGGTCATCAGCTAGAGTGTGAGCCCGGATTTGACCCCAGGTTTCAAGCTATGAAAGCAGGTATGACCACAACCTGGGCCAGGTGTGGGCGGTAATAAAGTACTGGATGAATTCATTTGTGTTCTTTTTGCCATTCATCTCACTCACAGAGCACCCGCTCTGTGCCGGGCCCTGTGCTGACACTGGAGGCAGAGATGTCCTCCCGAAGCTCACAGTGGCGTTGGGGGGAGGGCAGGATGGTCTCCTCAAGCACGCCCTGCAGGTGCCCAGAGACTGGTTGGTGGGGAGAGAGAACTGATCCCTCCCTCCCTCCCTCCCTCCCATCTCCCTTTTGGGTCCCTCATTCTCTCCTTCCTATGGCCAATGAGAACCTGTTCAGGTCGGCCCTCCCCAGCCAGGCCCAGCCAGGCCCCGGGCACAGCGCACCTGTCCACTGAGACGGCGGCCAGCGTGAAGCTGCTGGCGTACATGGTGAGGTAGATGAGCAGGTGCACGGCCTTACAGACGAGGGCTCCAAAGAGCCAGGCGTCCAGCGTGTAGATGGCTGCCTGGAAAGGCACGCAGCACAGGATGAAGCAGAGGTCGGCCACCGCCAGGTTGAGGATGAATAGATCTGTAGTGCTACCTGGCTCCTGCCAGGCACTTGGGCTGGGCTGCAGCAGCACCGCCAGCACCAGCCCGTTGCCCACTGTGCCCAGCAGGAAGATGAGGGCAAAGACCACAGGCACTGCCACAGCCCCCACACTCCCTGGGCTGTCCAGCGAAATGTTCTGGGCATCAGCCATCTCCTCATCAGATGGGCACCTGGGGAAGAGAAGCTGGAGTTCTCAGGCAGGAACCCCCAGCTCTGGTCACTCGACCCAAGGGTCTAGTTCCCTCAGCCTGCGCCTGGCCAGGTCTCCTGGGCTGGAATTTCATGGGGGTGGGAGTTGGGGAACAGAGCTGAAAATCATCACTGAGACCCACTGTGCAAGCTGCTGGCACCATCACATTGTTTTCTGGGGTGGGTTTCTCAGTTTCCTATGGAACACCCCCATAGCCCAGGGCGTGAAGAGCTGATTACAAAGTTGATGGACACCGCCAAGCAATGATGCAGGTAAGACACAGGCAGAGCAGGGTGAGGACATGGCAGATGGGGGGAGGGGCAGCTCCACCCCCAGAAGCTGGTATATTTTCCTTACTTCTCAGTGGGGACCTGAAGCTCAAGAAAGACTCTCGGACATGGGTCATGGACTTCCATCCGGCTACAAGCTGTAGACTCAGGTGACATCCCTGAGTCATTGGAGAGTCCAGTCTACTGAGAGCCCCACAGGGCACAGCTGGGACGACCATATAGGCCACTGCCCCTTTGTTGCACATGAGGAAATCGAGGCTCAGAAAGGGGACATGGGAGGCTAATATCACACTTTGAGTGGCAGATCCGGGGCTGTTGCCAGCCTGGTACCCTGACTCCCAAGCTGGAGTGCTCATCTGAGAGCCTGTAACAGGTGGTGCCTCTGACAACCTGCGTGTGTGTGCGTGCATTTGTGCAAGCTGTGCCCACTCTCACCCCTGCCCCACCCCGCAGCCCACATCGATTGCTACCTGTGGATCCCCCTGCCTGCCTGGGACCTCTGGGGTGGTGGGACAAATTAAGGGCAAGGGGGACCAGGCAGGGAGGAAGGAAGAAAGGTGATATCTGCCTCCCACCAGCACCCAGCATGCAGCAGACCCCCAAAGCCCAGGATGGGCAACACCCACCTCAACCCTGGGCACTGGGCCCCCGCTCGATCCTGGGTGAACCGGCCAGGCTGAAGCTGCCTCCTGGCTCAGTGGCTGCCCCTTGGTGCCTCTCTGCAGGTACAGGTCTGCCTCCCACTTCTCCCTCTTCTCCTTTAAGGCCCCTCCTCTGCTGAGCTGGACTTGTGCACTCCCTCCGGAGTAGCCTCTGGCCACCTCCTGTCAGTCCCTGATTGCCCCCAGAATGCATGCTCTTCTGCCTGGCTCTTCTCTGCCTCTCTGCGTTGCTTCTCTTTCTGCAGCGAGTAACCCATTGATCTCGCTGAGACTCGCTTTGTAGTTAACCCCTCCGTGCCCAGGGCCCAGCCCATTCGTGGCACTCCCTCCTGTGGCCCTGCCTGATGACTCCACCCCCTGTCCTCTCCCCTCCCTGCTCCAAGCAGGGCTCCAATCCAAGCTCAGAAAGGATTCCTAGTCTCAAATGGGGTGTCCCAGGCTAGGAAACCAGAATATGAATCCCTTTTCTAGACTTCAGATAGGACTCCTCCTCTGGACCCTGAGAATCCCAAGACCCATCAGCTTCCCTAATCTTGTTCCAGGGCTTCAGTCTGGCTGGAGATCAGAGGGTTTACGTGTCATCCAGAATCTGGCTTTAGCCAGAGAGCAATGGGGAGCTAGTGAAAGTTCTAGAGCAGGGACATGACCTTTTCATTTATTTTGTAAGAAGTTTATCATGGCCTAGGGTGAAGGTGGAGAGAGGGGTAGCAATTTAATGAGTGATCTGTTAGGAGCCTCTTGTCCAGGTAGGAGTCAAAGAGGTTAAGAGGCCTTGGTGAATGGCTGTGTGATTCGGTTGCGGGGTTCTGGCCTGGACCTCTTGGAGAAGTGGGTCACATGGCCAATTGCTTCCAGGGGGTTAGAAAGGCCAGCACCTGGGGGGCGAGGTGCATTAGATTTAGCAAAAAGGAGGTTGTTGGTAAACTGGACAGTGCAGTGGAGCAGAAGGCAGTCTGCAGTGAGTTAAGGGAGAGAAGAGGCGGTAGGGACTGTGTGCGGAGTCTATCGAGAAGCTGGGAGAGTGGGAGGAGTGTAAAGGCGAGTCTGTGAGAAGGAAGGGAAAATAGTTGGGGTGGTGGGGAGGGTGACGCTGATGAAGCCAGGACTTGCATTCAAGGCCTGAGGAACCGGGGAAGAGAACTTCAGAACTAGCTCCTCGGAGGCCCTGGGATTTTCACCAGTGCGCAGAGGGGCTTCTCTGATGTCACCCATCCCAGATGCTGTACCTCCCCGAATTTTTGGAAGCAGAAGACTCAACTGAATTGAAGATATTAGGAATCATACCTAGACTCTGCTAACGTAAATTCAGAGCTATCAGAACTGAATTAAGGAGTTAGAACGTAGAATCTTATGATCACTGAAGGGCAGAACTGTAGGATTCTAGATTCAGCGTGATTCCAGACTTCAGAATCACTGACAATTAGAGGCTCACAACCACCCTATATGAAAGCAAGGCACTTAGACTCCCAGAAGCCTGGACACACCAATGTGGCATGTCTGAACCCTGAAAGTCCCTGATACTGCCCTCCCTCCCCTTGGGAGTCCCCAGCACGCAAGGCCCCTCCTTGTCGGGGCTGGGATCTGGAGGGGCTGCGGGCAGGACTGGGGCAAAGAGCTCCCAGCAGCGGCAAGGCTGAGCGCCTGATATGACAGCAGAGGCGGAGGGAAGGCCGGAGGCACCCATAGAGGGCTCCGCCGTGGGGCAGGCAGGACCGGCGCGCCCCTGGCGCCAATTCCTCCTCTTGCTCCAACTGCTGCTCCTGGAGCGGTGGCCTTGACCCCGGCGCCCGACGCAGAAGACGTGGCCTGGCGTGCCCGGGGAGCGGTCCCCGGAACCCCCAGGATGCATAAGTGCGTTTGATCCGCGGCTGGCCCTCGGGCCCCGCGCGGGCGTCCAGCGACTACCAGTACGCGCCCAGGGCGAAGCACGTGCGCCCGGAGCTGCTGCTGTGCCTGCTGTCGCCTCCTACCCCTCCTGGCTGGCGGCAGACCGGGGCCGGCGCAGCTCCACAATCTGGGCCGGGAGCTGGCCAGTGGCGCGGCGCGCTACCGCAGCAAGCTGACCCAGGATGTCGCCGCGATGCTGCTGCCCACGCTGTCCACCGGGGAGCTGCACGAGGCGGCGGCGCGCACTCAGCCCCACTGCCAGGTGGACCTAGCTTCGTGCCGCCTCTCGTCAGCCTGAGTGGATCTGGGCCCGGTGTCCCGGCCCCACTGGGTACGCTGCACGGATTGCGACGCATCACTCCGCGGCTGCTCGTGGCCGCCCGGTACGACCTGCCGGCCTGCGCAGACCACGCACATCAAGCTGCTGGCTGGGCCCGGTGGCGGCCTACAAGCATTCATGCTGCACATGTGGCCACAGCAGCCCCCTTTCCTGGGCTGCATCCCCCAGCACCCCGAGCTTCTGGACCCCCGCCTCAAGCTCCTCCAGGTCACAAGCTAGGATTCCCAGAATCCCAGTGTCAAGATCCTGCAGGATTGGGCCAGAGCTTGCCCAGATCGTCCACGCCGAGATGTCCAGGCTAAGGCGAGGGCTAGGGGTGCAGGGCGGCAGGGATGTGGTCCTAGTTCCCCCTTGTTAGTGAAGAGCCTTTTCAACCTCCCTGCCCTACCTCCAGCAAATGACAAGCTTCCCAAGGCTACAGCATGCAGAGGCTGGAGCTGCGGTGACTCAGAACCCATCCCCCACCCCCACCAGGTGCCCATAAGGCTGAGTGGGTAGGGCAATAGAGAGAGGAGGACCAGGAGCAGCGAGCTGTTGTGGAAGGGGCCCTGCCCGCCAGCCGAGTCCAAGGCCTGGAGTCTGGAGAGGACGGGGCGAGCCGGCGCCGGTAGCAGCCGAAGCCTGAGCTCACTGCGCCCCCTGGCGGCTGACAATTAGGGGAGTAGGCCTCGCCCCAGGTAACAATATAACATCCACTCTTGATAGTGGAGGGAAACTGAGGCACACATAGGGGATGGGGCCTGACCGGGGCCACAGAGTCAGGGACAAAGTGGGCCAGAACACTGGTTTCAGACTGTCAGGGGCCTCTCCAGTAGTGACCCACATTCTTTCCTTTGGGGCCTGAATTCTGTCTCTCCTCCCAAACAAGGGTTTGGGCACCCAGCCTCTTCTTGTCTGGGCAGCTGTAGGCCATCCTTTGGACAGGGAGCCGAGGACAGGTGTTCACCAAGGCTAGACTCAAGGGGCTGCAGAGTAGGGTGGGGGGTGGCATGAGAAAGGCCTGCGGGCTGGTGTTCAGCTGCCCTCCACAGCAGCACAAATACGGCGGCCCCTGCCCGTACTACCCCAGCTGCCTGGGTCCCATCTCAATCTGGGGGAGGTGCTCAGCTCTGAGATCCACTACAGTCCTCAGGAGCCTGCCCTGAGCCCTAGCTCCTGCCTGATTCCTCTGCCGGTCACAGGACTGAGCCTGCCTAGAGAGAAGAAAGCAGACCAGCGCGTCACAGCCAGTTTCCACACTGTTGCCTCATACTCATGGCCTTGCCCCAGCCCGGCCGCAGGACTTTGACAGAGCTCAGAGCCTCTGGCCTGGGCTGATCAAAGGCTCTCTTTGTCACTGTGGAGGGAGGGGGCCTTGGCTCTGCTTGTCACTCCCCGGGGCTCAGGGCAGTGCCCCGTGCAGCCGCGCCACCTCCACGAAGGCCTCCACGCAGCGGTCGATGTCCTCCTCGCTGTGCACCGCTGAGATCTGCACCCGGATCCGCGCCTTGCCCTTGGGCACCACAGGGTAGCTGAACCCGATGACAAAGATGCCTGGGAGGGTAGAGCGCGTCAACCTGGGACTCACAAGAGCCAGACAGGCTTTGGGGCATGACATACAGCCCCTACTTTCCTGAAGACCACAGAGGGCAAGGGAGCTGCCCAAGGTCTCTCAGACATGGGACTGCCACATGGCCTGTGGTTTTCAAGCTTAGACAGCTGGTCTAAGAGGGGTAGCAGGGTGGGGGTCAGGGGCAGTATTCACAGTCTAGGGGTTCCCCCCTTTTCTCTCAGGACCCACGGCCAGTCCTCTAGTCCTGG